CAACCCTTCCACCTGGCAAAGCTGCTCCTGTTAAAGTGGCTTAGTTAAAATGGCTTAGGGGCACAAGAACATTACAGCAGATATGGTGAGCTTAGATGGCAAACACTCCCTCGCCACTACACACACACACACACACACACACACACACACACACACACACAGAAAACAAAGAAAAATGATACAAGAAAAGAGTTGGAGTGAACATCAATGAGGGCAAATGTGTAAGGCCAGAGTACGGGGAAAATGATGTAAATGCATTATAATAAGTTGTGTCTTCCTCATCATAAATTACACCCTCATATAATTCTATCAGATGATCTCATTACTCCATAAAATACAGAATAGTACAATAAAACTCCTTGGAAGACTTAAACTTAAGTTAATTAGATTTCTCAAGGAGCTCTAACTCCAGTTCCGGTGAACAGGAATCCTAATGAGACAATTAATATTACCTAATATCAGCTAGATTGATTTAAAAGGTATGTATAATTACATGGGTGCATGTTTACAAAACTATATGTTTAGATACATATGAAACACTCCTATAAGTAGTATCTAAAATTAAATTTCAAACTATTTTGAAAGAAAAAAAAGATCGGAGAATTTTTATTTTACAGGTAAAAAGCAAATGTTTGAAAACAACAAAAAAAGTAGGTCTGTCTTAACTATGAGCTATTTTATTGAAATGTTGACACAAATTAAAGAGCAAATCTGAATACTTATTCAATGTTATCAACGTATCATTCACTTTCAGTAAATTTTCTCCTTAACCCTCACAATCTTGGAGGGAAATGTTATTATCTACATTTTACAGATTAGAGACCTGAAGCTAAATTTCTAAAGCACAGCAGTTCCTTTCATCAATGTTTTTAACTTACATGAAGCCAGCTGTGGTGCAAAAATATGCAATGGAAAGTTCCAGAAGGAAGTATTTCATAAGTTTTATTTATTTATTTTTTCATAAATTTTAAATGGTCTGCCATTCTCAGTAGTGTTACAAAATCTTTTCTATTACAGCATATTATTATAATTTCTATATTTTAGTGTTGATAATTTTGTACTATGCCTAATTTATAAATTAAACTTCATCACAAATGTGCATAAGGGAACAAGACAATACAAATAAGGTTCTATTCTTCTTAAATGTTGAACACATCTATAAAGGGTTAAGGAATCTATTTCCCACACAAAATGTAGCAAGAGTCCTATAACGACCAGGGAGGGATGACTAAGATTGCCATTCCTGAGGGATTTTCAAAAGGTTTATGGCAGATGAACTTACAGATAGCTTTTGTTCTGCCTACCTAGTGATGGATCCTGATGCAGGATTATAATATCACAGAAAAATACAGTGCTTTTCTTTTAGTTGCGCAAAGATGAGTAGTAACAATGGGCTCTGAGATCAAAATTGAAGTTCATTTACATCCAGATCAAAAACAAGCTGTTTTTGCAACTTCTGGAGAGCCTCTCCCTTGGAAAGGTGCAGTCCTACTAAGTCCCAAGTAACTGGTGTTCATCTCCCACTGTGAGAGTTGCTGGGACAACAGAGGAAGCAAGGGACTGTCCATGACTCCAGCCTTGAGACAAAACATCTGACCATGAGATCTTTGTAGAAAAAAGAGGGAGAAGGAAGAAATTGGTTTTGATGGGGATGCCTAATCATTATGATTATCTAAAGTAAGCATGTGATCGCTCTTTGTGGCTTAACAAATAAATCTGTAACATGACAATTAGCCCAATAATGGACACATGGTAAACACTCCACTCCATACCGTTGTCGAAGTGTAGCAAATGCTGTCCAAGCTTTTCATCAGCAAGAAAATGTTTGACAATGGTAATGGAAATGGACCCTGATGTTAAAGATTCCAACCATTAAAATATTAAAAATTAAAAATATGAAAGTCATGGAGACTGCATAAGGAAACAGTGAAAATTCTGGAATCTTGGCTTTTTCTATCTATTTCACTGGCTCAGTACATTCCTGATGGCAATGAAGAATCTGGTCTAGCTTCAGCAATTCACAATTAGCACACTGTGTATACATATATATCTGTCTATGTATATATATGTGTGTATATGTGTGTATATCTATATATACATAGATCTATATATATATACATAGATCTATCTAGCTATACATAGATAGATATAGATATACACACATATACACACATACATATGTATATATATGCTGAATGAATATATATATGTATATATATATTTTTGCTGAATGCAACTGAAGAAATAATGATTTCTTTCCTTTCCAATTCTTCCTGTACTATAAAATTGACATTCAGGCCTTGCGCTTTCTGGGAAAAAGAAAATAGAAAAAGAGCTACAAAGAAAGTCTGTTTAGAGACCAAGATATTAAAGGGCAATAGAAACAAATTGTGTTTATGTTCTCCAAGACGTGATCCAGAAATGTCCAGGACTCAGAAAGTAGGGTCATTCCCTAAGTTCAGGCTGCTAGAAGAGGTGAAATGAAATCTTACAAGCAGAGATGAAGGAAGCCCGTTGTGAAGGTAGAGAGAACATCGTGAGGGCACAGCGAGGGGCTAGGAAGACTGAGTGCTCAAGGAAGGACAGTCAGAAGCCACTGGCCTGAGCAGAACACACAGCCTTCAGCATTTCAAGGCTAAATGCCAATTAGGCAGTCAGGGCCAGGAGACCTTTGCACCTGAGCTTCACTGTAGTGAGAAGACTGGGTAGAGTTGGGGGCTGAGGGGCATGAGAATCTGAAAGTGTCTAGGCAGTCTCTTTTGATATCTAAAGCAAGGTTTTAGAAAGATGACATCATGTTTAAATTAATTTTGCTTTGCTCTACTCAGGTAAAGTTTTGTATCTTAGCAATGGTGTTTTAGAAGCTAATGTCTCATTTTAACGTTAGATGGTAGTCTAGAGAATTTAGCAGGAAGGGGTATTGGAAATTTGACATCTAGGGGGCCTTTAAACTCAGACCTTAGAAGAAAAAAATCTACTTAAAAGTATGCACAGTGGCCTGCTCTAAAATTTTACAAATTGAATCTTAAGCATAAGCTTACTGTAATGTAGGAGGAATTTCAATGGCTATAAGGAAAGTGTGTTATTGTCCTGAAGAGTCACAAGAGAATAAGGAAAATGTACAAAGAGAGAAGAGAGAAGAGAGAAGAGAAGAGAAGAGAAGAGAAGAGAAGAGAAGAGAAGAGAAGAGAAGAGAAGAGAAGAGAAGAGAAGAGAAGAGAAGAGAAGAGGAAGGGAGCAAAGGGGAGGGGAGGGGTGAGGGGAGGTGAGAGAAGAGAGAAGGGAGGTGTAGGAGGCTGTGATGTCAGTGTCATTACATAATTAATTATTGCTTACAGCTGAAGATGGTGATCATTTAATATTGAATGTCACTTGAGTTTATGGGGGACTTCTCCCCGTCTTCCTGTGGATATCTTATTGGCATACACTCTTTGACAAAATCATTGTTATGCTTATGTAAACAATTGACTTTTTAGTTTGAAAAACAGAGATACGGAGATCATCCATATGCTTGTTCAGGACCTTAGCCTTCAAGATTGGGACTTAACCCCACTACCTTCTGGTCTTCTGGGATTTCCGGTGAGAAATCTGATGGTGAATGTTAGGGGAAATGATGACGAAAGATACGTTCCTCTCAGGACTGGTGCTATGATTCAGTGGCTAAATCCTCATCTTGGCGCATGCTGGGATCCCATACGGGTAACAGTTTTTGTCTTGGATTCTGTTTCCCATCCAGTTCCCTGCTTGTGACCTGGGAAAGCAGATGAGGACGGCCCAAACTGATGGAACCCTGCAACCACGTGGGAGACCTGGAAGATGCTCTTGGTTCCTGGCTTCAGATCAACTTAGCTCCAGCTATTGTGGCTGCTTGAGGAGTGAACTAGTGGATGGAAGATTTTTCCTTCTCTCTGCAAATCTGCCTTTCCAATATAAATAAATACATACGTGTGTGTGTGTATTAAAGATACCTTACTCTCAGCTCTGTGGAAGTGAATAATGTACCTGATGGTGTCTTGGGTTACAAAACATTGAGTCACACTACCATAATGCCAGAGAAGGTGAGCCGTTGGTTTGAGGCCTCTCATTCAGAGGTTACAGGAATGTGTACTGTAAGTGTGGAAGTCTTCAAAAACCAAGAGTTCTTTTCACTGTTCAAACCGGAAATGAAAAGGCCCTTTGAAATACCCTATGGGTGTTAATTTCTCAACTAATTAAACATCAAACTCTAACCAACTTAAGCTGAAAGCTGTTGGGATCCTTATTTTGTTTCACACGGAAAGCTCTTAAGAAGCTCCCCACCCCAATACTCCCACCCCAGGAATATTGGTAGCTTTGACTGGCCCCTGCCTTGCTCTGATGTCACAAGGACCAACGTCTGTACAGCTGCCTGCTGCATGCCCATTGGTTCATTTCCTGCACTGACGTCATAAGGAGCCCTGTGACGACAGAGCTCCCACAGCCTATATAAGCCCTGTGCAGGCCTGGGTTTTGGTCCGTTTTACCAGGGAGCTCTTTTGGTGACCTGAGTGAGTTGGACCCATCTTACCTAGCTTTTGCAACTGTTGGTGGTGTGTGCTGTTTGTTTGTTTGTTTCATGTTCTATTTGGTCTACACATTTCCCAATTTGTTTATTGTTTTCTACCTAGTTGTTGTTTTGCCCCGTCTATCTTTTTGTGCAGTTTTGTACATTTCTTGCATCCCCCACTTTTAGATAGTTAGTGTGGTTAGATTGAGTGTGTCAGTGCAGTTATATAGTGTTCGCTGTTTTGTGTGGCTTTCCTGTTTGTTGTTTACAGTTTTGGTTAGATAGCCCTTAGTCTTGCCATTCTGTACTTTTAGTGTAGTTAGCTTAGGTAGTACTGTGTCTTAGTTATCATAGCTGCTAGTCCCTGTATCGTCCTTTTTTCTCCCCTTAGCTAGCACAGTCAGGGCTGTGTATTAAGATAGCTTGTCAATCCTTTAGAGAGAGCAGTTGAGAGAGAATAGTAAGGTAATTCCTAATGGAAGGCCAGGAGGGCTTACTGGCAGAAGCCAGCAACAAGCTAGAGCTGGAGTTCCTGTCCTTGCTCGGCCAGGGTGCTTTTAGCATGGTGGTGCTGGCCCAACTCGTGCCTTCGGGGACACACGTAGCTGTGAAGGTGGCCACGGATGAGGCAGACAACCCCCGGAGTGTGATGGATCTGCTGCATGAAGCGGACATCCTCAGCACCTTGCAGCATAACCACATCATCCGGCTGCTGCAGGTGGGTCGAGTAGGCCAGCAACTCTGTCTGGTCATGGAGCTAGCGGAGGGAGGCACCCTGAGGAGCCACGTGATAGACCGCGGTGGGCTGACGGAGGAGGAGGCAAAGGACCTGCTGGGCCAACTGCTGGAGGCAGTGGAGTACTGCCACGCGCAGCGCGTAGCGCACAGAGACCTCAAACTAAGAAACATCCTGTTGGACACCAACATGCGTGTGAAACTGGCAGACTTTGGGTTCAGCTGCCGGCTGCCGGAGGGCCAGCTGGTAAGAGGCTTCTATGGGACTCCCGAATACAGTGCCCCAGAGGTATTCCTGTCCCGGCCCTATGACCCTTTCAAGGCCGACCTGTGGAGTGTGGGAGTCATCCTGTTTAGGATGGTGACTGCGGACTTGCCCTTCAAGGGCTCAGACGAGAAGGAGGTGCGGCGCTCCGTGCTCTGCGGCAACTATGAGCTGCCCTTCCAAGTGAGCCAGGAGATGGAGGAGCTGCAGGGGTGGCTGCTCACCTGGAACCCCAACCAGAGACCCACGGCTTCCCAGGCCAGGCAGCACGCTTGGTTTAGGCCCCATCCAGGGAAAAAAGATGAGGAGGTCACCTTTGTGCAGCCCCTGAGGATTCCTGAAACCCCAGAAGCCCAGAAGTATCTGGAAGGTCTAGGGTTGCTGCCAGCCTCAATGCACTCAGGCCCTGGGAGCCATAGACTGAGGCAGGACGTGAAGAACAAGGAGCAATTCCTGTCCTGTGAGATCTCAGACCCTGGCCAAGGCTCTAGTCTCAGCCTACCTGTGCTGCTACGCAGGGTGTCTTCGCTCATTGACTGCAGAGGCCAAGGCCAAGGCTCTAGGCACAACCCACCTGTGCTACTACGCAGGGTGTCTTCGCTAATGGACTGCAGGGAGGTGCAGAGCGAGTCCTCATCACCACAAGGCCAGGAGGAGGCCAAGTTTGAGTCATCCAGTAGAGGTACTTTTCTTGCCTCTTCCCTCCCCTGCCAGGAGCAGCAGGAGAGGGCCCCCAGTCCCAGTGCAACCCAGGAGCCTGTCCTTGTGGACTTCCTGTCCAGCATCAGTACCAGAACCAAGAAAAGTGCAGAACAGGTGGAGATGGAGGTCCCAGCAGCCAAGCCCGAGGAGCCCGGGACCCCAGCAGCCCAACCCATGGAACCTGGGACTCCAGCAACCCAACCCATGGAGTCTGGGACCCCAGCAGCCAAGCCCAAGGAGCCTGGGACCCCAGCAGCCCAACCCATGAAACTTGGAACTCTAATAGTCCAACTCATGGAGCCTGGGACCCCAACAGTCAAGCCCAAGGAGCCTGGGACCCCAGCAGCCCAACCCATGGAACTTGGCACTCCAGTAGTCCAACTCATGAAGTCTGGGACCCCAACAGCCAAGCCTAAGGAGCCTGGGACTCCAGTAGCCCAACCCATGGAACCTGGGACCCCAGGAGCCCGACTCGTGGAACCTGGGACTCCAGCGGCCCAACCCATAGAGCCTGGGATCCCAGCAGCTGAGCCTGTCGAGGCCACCTCCTCCACTGCTATCACCTGGAACGACACAGGACAGGTAGCAGCAGATGTTCCTGTAGCAAAGCCTGAGGAGCTTGAGAGCTCAGCTGTGACCTCTGTCCAGAGTCCAGGCTGGAAGGGCCTGGGCAGAAGGTTTGGCAGGATGATGATCAGGTTCCTGAGACAAGCCTGCTGCATGGGGGCACCCCCAGACACCAACAGTGGCCCTAGCATTCGCAGTCGAAAAGTGGTCCCCTGCTAGATGGATTCGAGGCTGCCGGAAACCAGGTCCGGCTGACTTGAGAGCTTGCTAAGGATGTGTGGATCGGCGAGGCGATATGAAGAAGAGATAAGACATGGACCACTGTGACATGATGCTCACAATGGACCACTCAGAAAAGTTGCCTGCTTTATTTATACACAAATCATGACAAGCTTTTTGCACAATATCCAATTGTTTCATTTTTACTTCGTGGTTAAGAGAATATAAAAATCAATCCTAAAGAAAACATTTTCTTTTTTTTTTTTTTTAAAGATTTATTTTTATTATTTTTTTTTTTGGAAAGGCGGATATACAGAGAGGAGAGACAGAGAGGAAGATCTTCCGTCCGATGATTCACTCCCCAAGTGAGCACAACGGCCGATACTATGCCGGTCCGAAGCCAGGAGCCTCTTCCGGGTCTCCCACGCGGGTGCAGGGTCCCAAAGCTTTGGGCCGTCCTCGACTGCTTTCCCGGGCCACAGGCAGGGAGCTGGAAGGGAAGCGGGGCTGCCGGGATTAGAACCGGCGCCCATATGGGATCCCGGGCGTGCAAGGCGAGGACCTTTAACCACTTGCGCCACCGCGCCGGGCCCAAGAAAACATTTTCAACAAACCATTACTCATTGAAACCTGCAGTTACCTGGCTGAAGCCAGGAGCTCCACGGTTGGCAGCGCATACAGTTACATAGTGACAAGTAGTTTACTTACACTCAAAATCAATTTTTACTAAACACAAACTAATATTGCTTAAAATATTAAGAGTACAGTATTAAAAGATCATAAATGAAAGGATCTTATAAAAGCATATAACAGATTCTTTGCTAATTCTTATAATCAAATCATGCATTAATTACCATCACCTTCACCTAGTGCTTATTCAATTGTTTTTTGTTCCTTTGTTAAAGGGCAGTGAAAGGGATCAAGGCAGCTCAGCCAATCTACAAACAGAGGGCTTTTACAAAAAACTTCCTTTTATCTTTATAAACTGTTTTCTTGCCCTAAATGTAAGTGCCAATATAAGATAGAGATTTTAAGCCATTTTGAGGGAGTTCACATTTGTTTCCCTTTAGAAGATGTCCCATATACTTTTACTTTCTATGGTGAGAAACTAAAATGCGCCATATCATGTGTAGTAACAATTCAAGGTGCATGGTAAACAAACTCTTTGTACCTCCATGATTGCCATGTGTTCCAAAATATTATCAAGCCATTTCTTAAGGAAAACATTACTTATACTAGGGCAAACTTCAGAACAAAAGTGGGCACATAACAAGATGTTTGGAAATATTGTGGGCTCAATTGTACTATTGCATACTTTTAGCTGCATGCCCTAGCCTTATGTCGCTAAAGATGTTTTTATCATAACATGATTGAAGTGTCATACCAGTTACAGGAATCACTTCACATTAGCAGAAAAAAAAAAAGCACCCTCAGGAGAATTCTATGAAACATCAGAGAGGTGAATGAGTGTCCATACAATGGGGTGAGGCAGCAATGAGGTGACCAGAGACATTCTGCCGGGCCTTGCCTTGCAGCCAGAAACTCCTCGTAGCCTTGCTAACCGAGGAGCAGTGTTGATCACACACCCATGCCATCCGACCCCACACTGGGCAACCCAAGATCAGGGGTCTGCAAGCAGGGTTGCCTGAGGTTCTTCTTGCCTCAAGGCTTGAGTGGGATTCTCATGAATAAAAGTCCTAATGGATTGCATGGAATTGTCTGTGTGATGTTTGGGTCCCTATGTGTACCTTGACAATGATCAAGCAAGTGGATTGTCAAAAGGATCACCATGGAAAGACAGATGCCATCCCACCTCACTATGGGGATTCCCCAAAGGCTGACCTCATAGAAACAGAGAATAGAAGGGTGGTGTCCAGAGGTTGAGGGTGGGGGAGGGGAGGAGGAAGGAAGGAAAGGAGGAGGAGAAAGGAGGGATGGGAGAAGAGGGCCAAGGGAGGAGAAGGAAATGGGCAAGAAGGGGGAGGGTACAGAAGGAGGAGGAAAAGAAGCAGGAGGAAGATGCAGGGGAATGTGGAGAAAGGGACAGGAAAATGAGAAAATGAGAAAAGAGAATGAGGAAGGAGAGAGAGGATGGAACAAGGGAGGATGAGGGCAGGGAGGGAGAGGAGGCAAGTAAGGGGGAAAGGAGGAACGGAGGAATGGAGTGAGGAGGAGCAAGAGGGAGAGGAGCAAGGAAAAGAGGGGAAGAGAAGAGGAAAGCAGAGGAGGAAAGCAGAGAGCGTAGAGAGGGAAAGAGAGGGAGGGGAGGTAAGGAGGGATGGGGAGGGTAAGAGGAGGAAGGAAAAGGAGAGGGAAGGAGAGAGGAAGGGGAGAAAAAGGGGAAAAGAGGGAAGGAGGGAGTTGGGGGAAGAGGGAAAGAGGGAGGGAGAGGAAGGGGAGGGGAGAGCAGGGAGGAATGGGGGGTAAGGGAGGGAGGGAGAAGGGGGGGAGGAGGGGAGACGGAAGGAGATGGAAAGGAGGGAGGAAAGGCGAGCATTTGCATTGCTCCCTGCTACCTTGTAGGAGCGTAGCAGGGAACTGGCTAGGAAGCAGAGCTGGCTCCAGTCATGGTTTTCAGTGCCCGTTACCCATGTATTGAGCTGTGTTCATTTGCTCTTCATTGTTGTGCTATTAGTGCCTGAAATCTTTCATTCTTCTCAGAGGTTTTTCATCCTTTGTGGTTTTTCCTAGGAAGTGGAAATGTGTGAGTCTGAGGAGCAGATAAAGCCCTTTAAAGTTTGCTCAGAAGTTAACAGCCTGCAACTGTTAGAGTGTGGGTAAATTGTTATTGTTGGGCAGTGTGAGGTTCCTTTGTGTGGGGAAAACTGCTACTTTGCTAGGCCAGGAGGCGCCTGGACTTTGGGAGGATTCCGCTTTAGTGATAAATTTGTTCTTTGCTGTCCTGCAACTTTGTGAACTCAGGTGCAGGGGGGCAAGGGCACAGTTCTTCTCCGGTCCCAGGAACAGGAGGAAGATAAAGGTGTGAGAATGGGATGAGCCATACAGATATAGGTATGGGAACAGAACAGGCTGCCTGTGCCTGAAGGCCATAAAAGTGAACATGTCTAAGGTTGTTACTTTTAATGTATTTCCTAGCCCAAAAGGGCCTATATAAGCTTCTGTCTTGGGCTGTTCGAGGTCTGACCACCCTGCTTGGCTGGCCTGTGTGCCCCAAGTATGGTCTGGCCCCATCATGCTGGCGCGATAAACTCTGTTTGCTGTTTGCATTACCAGAGAGACTGTTTGTCATTCTCTGGGGGTTGACTAGCTCGCACCCTGACGACCGGGGCTTTAGCTCGGACTCTAACACAACAACACATGGAGATCTGTTACAACAGGCTTATTCCCTTAATTTCGTTCTTCTTTCTGCATCTTTCCCATGGATGTCTCTGCAGCCTCCCTTTTCTTTCCCATTTGTAGTTTCTGCCATTTGTATACCATCTCTGTTGTATCCAGGCATTAGAGCTTGGTCAATACCAGTTGCTCCAAGTACATTTGTTAATACATGATAGATAGATAGATGATCAATAGAGAGATAGATAGATAGATAGAGGCATATTCGTTGAGTGATCTTGACCTTTGTCAGTGTCAGGGGTGAGACGTGGAGCCAGCAGAGGCATGCTGAGAGGCAGAAGGGAGCTCCCCAGACAAGGAGGGTCTTGACTGTGAGGCATCCACAGGATCTGTAGCCACCAAGGAAACAATGGCAGAGTGGGTGGGGAGTGTGTTGTCATGGAAACTCAGACAGAGTGGGGGCCGGGGGACCAGAGGTACAAATAGAGGTAATAAAATGGCATTGCTCATTTGAAACTATCCAGTATTGGCCCAGGCTGTCCTCAAGAACACATCTCACAAGTCTGAAAGGACAAGCGCTCTGCCCCATTTTTTAAAATTTCTGTTAACCAAGATCACACCTGCTGCAGGTTCACATATGAAATGATGAATACAAGTGTTTCCCACTCAGGACTGTCCTCCCGGTGGCTTCACAGAAGGTCTTCCCAGTCTACACTGTGTTGGGCTGGTTGTGATGGCTCTCGGGTCTCTTAAGAGTATTATTTTCCTGTGGCTCATTGATTTCTGCTGTCCCTGGCTCTATGAGCAATAATTTGAATTTTCTTCTGGGCACCCACTGATCCTCTCACAGTTAAGGTAGATTTTTCTCTGCATTACATCCTACCCAAGGCCCTTTGCATGGGTAGTCATGCTGACCCTCTTCCAAAATGCCACCACCAATGCACTCAACTAACATCAGAGAATTTTAGTTCATTTGTTCTCCTTCATCTCCTAATGACTCATCAAATCTCTGATTCCCAAGAACTGCATACCACTTAGAACAAGTGACTGTAAATTCGTAGTACTTCATTTTTTTTTCATCATTGCTTTTAAGAAATAGTCATTTGGTTAAGTTTAAGTTAGGTTCCAGGGACTAAGCACTGGTCATTATGTAGAAGCATTCAGCAGTGCTCAGTGATCCCTGTGGGTAGGGCTGTGTTAACAGGAGCATGGATGTGAGGGTGCTGGCTGGACAGACATCACCCAGGGGACCACCTCGTGGGCTCTGTGTTGTTTTCAGTATTGTCAGATAAGAATTAAAAATTCAGCGTAGTTGAAAACATTATTCACTGTGCACTTCTATTACATACAAAAGCATGATGCTTGTGTACTGTGAATATGCTCTCCCCTCAGCAGGAGGAGCAGAGCAGGGCAGCCTGTGCTATGTTGATGCAGGAGAGCAGAGAGGTGGGTGTGATTCACTTTTTAGGAAATCTTACCACTGTGTTTCCTGGAGGGCCTGGCAGTGTGGGTGGCTCCTCACTCAGATCAACACATGCACTTGAGCATTTCCTATGCGCGAGTAGGTATACTTTTGAAATTTTGTGTCTACTTGTATTGATTGTCACCAAAAGGAACCGATTTTTGAATATGTCGTCATTGAACAGCTTACCTGACATCTGTTTATAGACACTCTTACATCTCAGTACCACTAGTCTCAAATTTTA